CTGACATAATCGTTCATGCAGGCAAATCCATTTTGTTATACTACACTGTATATCGTATTTACATTTTTCCTACCTGTCCGCGACGTCATTGTAGTTGATATTGGAATACACGGGTGAATATGGACGTGGACTCTTCAGCTTTCTTGACCTGCGGCTGCTTTTCGAGACGGTGCTGTGAGCCGCTGATTTGGGTGGGTGCAGGTACCGCCTGGGGGCGAGGGTGGGGTTAGATGGTGCATTTGCCATCACGTGATCCATTCCTGGCTGTTCAGCTGTGGACGATCTGCAAAGAATCAACATTTGCGCTTCATAAATTTTCAAGAAATATTGTTGAAGAATTCATCGATCTGTGCTCTGCAGTCTAATTTCCTAGTTTGAAAGTTTAACCTTAGGGTTGATTCCTAACTTATTTACATCGTATTAAGGCATGAAGAAAGATTTACTGTCGATTGTAGGGCTTGTTTTGTACACTACAGGGTTCTCATTTATCTAGGGAGTAAGGAGCTAGTTTCATGAAGCAGACAGCTGGGGAGGTCCTGGGATATGCTCCTGGGATGTGCTCCACTAGAAAATTTTGAAATTGAGAGGTTCTGAAATGTTATTTTACGCATTCTCTTTGAAAATGGTGAAGGTTTTTCCTCGAAACAAAAAAATTGAAAGAAGTCAAGACGCCAAGAACATGAAGGGATTACAAAGACTTTCATCCTACAGCGCTAGTGTAATTGAAAACGTACACTACATCCTCACCCCATTCCCTCTCTCTAGCTACAGCCTTGACTGTCCCGAGACCAGGAAAGTCAACATTCAGTCACGTTCCAAAAAACCTGTGTTTTCCCCTAATTACTCTTTACAACTTACTCGAAAACTTACTTATTTATGACTCACTATTATTTAACGAAAAGTGCGAAGGTGGATCAGATATCGAAGTAGCCGGTTCTTTAGCCGGCGGCTGGCACTTAATACACCTTATTCCAAAATGGACGCAATTTTAGTGTTCTTTTGTTTGCTTACAAATTAGCCCTTGTTGCCTCGTTCAAGGGAAAATAAACTTTCAAATTTCGAGTTTAAGAACGAGGCAGCAAGGGGTAATTTGAAGGCAAACCAAAGAACACTAAAATGGCGGCCATTTTGGAATACGGTATATGGGAATCGTACCCTGCAATTATACTTTTATGCCGCTACAGCATGCTCAGAAAAAAAAAAGTTAGTTTAAAACGAATTTATCACTTGCATATTTATTAACATAGCCACACTCAAAAGCATTTTAAAATATGACGTTCTCAGACGCAGCTAAATGTAGATATTCTTGGGGTCACAAAAATCTCTGTCATGCATAGATGCAAACCTACATATTTCAGTAA